GGGAAAGAGGATGGTTCTTGCAATTGTAAGTTAATAGAGGATAATGAAAAGTAGTGATCAAAGCTACTGTGATATTTGCATATTAAAATTTAGAAAAATATATTACCAAATATAATTTGTTTTGTTTGAAACAAGGTTAACATATGTATTAGATGCTTTTGTTTTTAATACACTGAGATAAACTAGGAAGTGTTCATTCTTTCACTTAAGTGAAAAATCCATAATCAGTTTGGGTTCTTTATAATAAATTTACTATGCATTATGCTTATTTCAGTTTGTAGCATTCTTTTCTGCCCATATAAACATTCCCCCAGATGACTTGTCTTTAGACTATCATTCTATTGAGCAGTTAACGGATTTACTCTGCTACGCCCATTTAACTTTCTTGTTTGAGAACAAAGTCTAGATTAATAAGCAAACTACAATTTTGGCCTGATAAGATCTAAAGACATTAATGTTTTTGTGAACAATTTCAGACCCTATATAATTTTTACCTGAGAAGAGCATCAATTTAGCATGGTAGATGCATAAAGAATGTTAGCAATCTGGTCCACCATCAGAGCAGGAGATCATAAGAATTATGAAGAACTCATTTGAATATCCAAATATTATACAGTTCATTTGATTTTATTAATGACTTCAGAAAGAAAATATATTTATAGATAGAATAAAAGCAGATGTAAGGCTTTAATCCCTTTGTTTATCTAGACCCTAGAGAATTACTTACTTTGAATTACTTAAAAATTAATTACTTTTGAATCTCTTACTAAAAAAAATTGTTTTAAATAACAGTGAAATTCTGTTGAAATTGAAATGAGAAGCTACATTCATGGTAACTTTATTTCTGTAAAAATGGAAAGCAATAATTAACAAAAACTGAGTAGTCCATATATTTTAAATCAAGGGCCTTTCTTCCTATACTCCATGATTTTTATAATTTAGGATTTGTCACAAGGCAGTTTGTACATTGTTAAATAAAATGCCAAAGCCCCCAATGTTACTTATATGCAAATTATTTAAGCATTCAAATTTGCAAGTAAAATTGGCAACAGTTTCTTTTCATAGGAAAGAATAATCATGACATTAGCTTGATTTTCTTTTTAAATATTTTTTAGATCTACAACTGAAATACGAAAGCCTTCATATAAACATCATTAAGGAATCATTATTAGACTGGAATCATGGCAAAAAGACAAGTTTAAAAGCCTCACTATTTTTAATTGTTTATTCATTGTTAATTCAAGAATTTTGTATTTTTTCTAAATATTTGTTCAAATTCTTTTAAATAATTTATTGTTAAGAGAAAGTCTATTTTGCTCACTGTCAGATGCCTTGGAGCCTAAAGTTAAGTAAACTTCCTTGTGCTCAGGGTAATTTACTTCCCTGAAAGGAATCAGTATTTGGCTAAGTCCTCCTGTTTCTGCAGGGCTGAATACAAATACAGAGTAGTTAGGTACTCAGATTCATGTCAAATATGTAGGTTATATGCCAATTCCACTTGTGAAAAAATGTCCCTTAGCTCCTAAAGCTACAAATGAATGTTCAAAGCTTAAAGAAGGAAATTAAAATATAAAACACTCTATTATTCCAAGTAAGATATAAAACACTCTATTAAGAAACATAGGGCTTCCCTGGTGGCGCAGTGGTTGAGAGTCCGCCTGCTGATGCAGGGGACACGGGTTCGTGCCCCGGTCCGGGAAGATCCCACATGCCGCGGAGCGGCTGGGCCCGTGAGCCATGGCCGCTGAGCCTGCACGTTCGCAGCCTGTGCTCCACAACGGGAGAGGCCACAGCAGTGATGAGGCCCGTGTACCGCAAAAAAAAAAAGGAAAAAGAGATATAGCTACCTTTATTTCTGTGCTTTTGTTTTGTCTTATTTTCAGCATCGTGAACTCAATGGATGATCTTTGAGGATGAAAATAATCTTGAATTACTTATTTGAAGTGTGTTAGACCTGAAACTAAAAGTGATGAAATGGGAAAAATATTCACTCTAACATAAACATACTCTATTTTTAGCTCTGTTCTCAATAACAAAGGTTAATATTGATTATAATTTAAAAGATTATAGTGAAATGCTTTGGCAAATAATACTTGTCCTGATGAAGGCAATATTTGATTCAACAAATTTCAATATAATAAATTAAATTATTCTAGAGTTATTTTTGAAATTATTTGCCTGTGACCACAATATTTGTACTTAAACACAAAATTTGATTTATTCATTGATTATAAGACATGTTCTTTGTTTCTGTATAGCATGTAAAATTTTAACCTCAGAATATGAGTTAAGGGGCTTAAAGGGTTTCCAGCAGTATTTTAATGTCCCAGCCTTCAATATGTATTTCATCTAAAGTGCTACAAGTAAATTACCTTTTCACACCCCCATGCACTCAATTTAATTTCTAACACTCAAGTGGTGACAGTTAATAATAAATAATAAAATAAAATAGAATAATAAAATAAAATCTCTCAAACTTCACATTAATTTCTTAATCAGGAAACGAAACCATATAGTTTTAAAGATATAAAGAAAAGCCTGTATTTTGTTTGTTTCTGTGCAATTAATGTACATAGTTCAGCAAAGAATTTACGTGGCTAACATAGAGGAAGTTTTGAAGTATTTATCTGTGAATCACAATTACTTGTTAGGATCTGTAATTCAGTAAATGAGTACTCTGTAGAAGGTGTGACTGTTTCCTTTAGGGAAGGACTATTTGGGGAGTCATGGAAGAACTGACATTTCATCTGTTCTTTAAAATGTTAAAAGAGCCAGGAATGATATTTCAGACTGAGCCACAGCGGTTGTGTGGGAAAATGTATGTCCTCAGTAAAACCACGGTCTTCACCTGCGTTGCTGGGTAGCTGGTCACCACCAACTGCCTGGAGTGCAGGAACAAACTATGCTTTAGTATTATCTGTACAACTCCAATTAGATGCAAATCCAATAAGGTAAAGCCTACAATAAGATAGAGTATACAAATCTGATAAGATACAGCACCCATCTTGAAGGACTTCCAAGGAGAGAGAATAACTCGGAGAAAAGCAAAGAGGCCATTGCACTTGGTGGTTAAAAGCAATTTTGTGATTTTTGAGAGAGTGATTTCAGTAATATGAAGAAGTGGAAACAGATTATAGGTTGTTAAAAAGTGATTATGGAGTGAAGTATAAAAATAGTCATATATCATTCTTTGCAGTTCAGTGACAGGAAAGGGTGAGATTAAGAGGAAAATAGTATTACAGGATGATTTTTAAGGCTGGAGAGACTGAAAAGGATAGTCATTACAGTAGAGACTGAAAAATAGAAGGATGATATAAAAAGATGGAAGTAGGTGAGAACTGTAGTCACTGATGGGACAGGGTTCCAGAAGAGATTTAGGCATTGAAAATAAGAGCATAAGAACAGCATTAGATTTGTTTCCAGATATCTCAGGGAAGCATAATCCTATGTTAATGCACATGCACTGTTTCTTAACAGTTATTTGTAGATTGAGGCATAAAACTAACACAACAGTGAGTTGTTAGGTCATAGAGTTCAAAGCAAGCTGTGAAATATTTTACCAATAAAATACGTCTAACCCTTCAAAACCATATTAAATAAAAGGACACAGAAAAAAAAAAGATGGGGAGGCAAATTTGCTTCACTACTTTGTTGAAGGAAACTAGTACATTTCCTATGGCACTGAACCAATTCTTTTCTTGGCAGTAAAACATTATTACAGCAGCTATGCGGCATTGTTAGTATATCTGAGTGGATCATGTGTGCAGCTTGTCTTTCCTGGTGAAAGAAAAAATATACAGTTTCTAAGTGAATAAGAACGCTAACATAAGAAAATAATTACAGGGCCTCTCATTTATAGCTTTGTTTATTTGTTTATTTGTTTCAGCACCTAATGTGGCTCCTTCAGATGTAGGAGGTGGGGGTGGAAGCAACAGAGAACTGACCATAACATGGGCGGTAAGTGCTAAGAAGTTGCATATGTTAATAGGCTGCTTTACCTACACTTAAGCTCAAACCCATTTTGCTTCCTGAAATAAATTGAAATAAAAGACAATGCCCCAAACCCAAACAAGAATAAATTACTAAAATTATTATTTTTTCTTAAATGCATGCCAGATTTTACCTGACTTCTATGGCTTAGTGCAATTCTTATACCAAAACAGATTATTGATGCTAAAGTATCCGTAGGTTTAAAGATTAAACAAACGTTCAACTCTCTCATTCCAGGTATATTTTGTACTCACTGTGGCCTGGTAACCCAATTGCAATTCATGACATTTGCTCTGGACTTTCAGAACTCCAAAGATTCAGTTAAAAAATCTTTTGTATCAGCATCTGTTTTTAAATTGGAGCTTGCTTTCTCACTTGAGACTTACTTTCATCACCATGTGTAATCTATCATTAGTCAGTCTTAGAAGTCCCCCCAGATGACTTGTTATTGAGGTGTCCAAAACACTGTATGAAATTTTTATGACCCAAAAGGGAGCTTTTTTTCAGAGACTATAATGTCTGGAAAACAATGCATCTTAGCTGAATTTTTGAAGTGAGAGAGATACTGGGGGTGGGAAAGGTTTTGGTAACATAGATTTGCCTGAATTAGACATCTGGCATTTATCTAGGTAACATGTTTTGTATAGCTCTATGTATCTGTTAAATATTTTTAGTATTTAATCACTGCAGAAAGTCAAAGAACACAACTAAGGCTCCAAAGGATTCTGAGAAATACAGGAAAAATGATAGGCTTTATTCTTTACATGAGTTAAATTGATTTATATAATAAATGGATATTTAGCAGAAATTGACTTCACTCTGTGCTCTGTAGTCATATTTTATACTTGGCATTTAAATCACATTTTTAAGTAAGATTTAGAAAAAAATTGCCTTTTCTTCATTCAAATCTCAAATGATTTGTCAGTTCTAGTGTCAGTGTATCACACAAAAGTGAAGATATTGGAAAAATTTTAACATCTTCCTCCTTTCTTTAGGCTTGATTTTCTTAAACTGTGTAGATATATGTGTCACAATAAGATGAGGAGCTTGTCAAAAAATTCAGAATTGGGAATTCCTATTTCAAAAATTTGAAATCAATTCTCTGAGACTAGGGCCTGAGAATCACTAATTTTTGAAAACTCCGTAGCTAATTCTGATCTACTAAATTGCAAAAACTAAATATAGAACTATCAATAAGGAAAAATGTTTAAATTATGGTGGGAATGTTAGGCTATTCTATTAATAATGTAAAATCATATTTTGTACATCCTTGTGATCATGCTTCAGGATTTCTATATTGTGCAACCAAGAACAACTTATTTTCCCATTGAACTTTGTACATTTACAGACATTCCTGTTTAACCTATGGATATTCAAGCTACTGTGTTGTATTTAGTTCAAGGTTTTTCCTCAAGACACCGTAACTTTGATATTCTGGTGAAAAAAGTCAATATACAATGGGCACATTTACTTTATTGGCTAAAAAAGACTAAATGATGGATACTCAGTAGAACTTGCTTTGAGTCAGTATTTATAAATAATGGATTGTTAGGGCTGACACAGACTTCTTTATTGAGCAATTGTTATGTAATAATAACTCTGAGAAAATAATGCAAAACAGAGCTCTTACTTCAGCCCTGGAGTCAGACGAGGCCCATAGCCAGCCTCCTACAGATGAGTGCAATGTTATCCCTTTCTCCTTTCGCATTCTTTTTCCTCTGACCAGTTTCTATTGCTTGGTTACAGTACAGATATTCCAGAGCATTGTTAACTGTCTTACCATAGCCCTTCAACTCTAAAAAAACTCATTTACTTATCCATTGAATAAATACTACTTGAGGCTTTGTTCTAGAGTCTAGGTAAATGAAACTGACAATAACCCTGCCCTCATGAAACTTATGTTATACTAGAGGAGAGAGACAGTAAAGTAGACAATAAGTAGAATATGTAGTGTAGATCATTATTATTGTATTAAAGAGAAAAAAATAAAGTGGGGGGATTCTATATGGATTATTGCAGAGTCTTGAAATGGCAGATCCTGTGGCCAGGGAAAACATCAAGTGGCTTTTTAACCTCAAGAAAGTGAGAGAGGGACCTTCTGACAAATGGGAAAGCATCCTAGAAGGAAGGAACTGAAAGTAAAAAAGCCCAGAGTGGGAGCCCCCGTGGGGTGTTCCAAAAATAACGAATTTGGTAAATGAAGTCACCACATGTTGGAGCACATTTGTGCCCTGGCCTTTTCAGGCAGCTCTCACGTATGAACTAAGAATGTTTTTACAAGAAAGCATGCTTCCATGTGTAGCATATTTATTGTTTGCATAGGATTTTCCCCATGTTAACTGTATTGCTTAAACCTATTAAATATTTCCATTTCTATTCAGCCTTTGTCAAGAGAATACCACTACGGCAACAATTTTGGTTACATAGTGGCATTTAAGCCATTTGATGGGGAAGAATGGAAAAAAGTGACAGTTACTAACCCAGACACTGGCCGCTACGTTCATAAAGATGAGACCATGCGCCCTTCCACTGCATTTCAAGTCAAAGTCAAAGCTTTCAACAACAAAGGAGATGGACCATACAGCCTCACAGCCGTCATCCACTCCGCGCAAGATGGTAGGTGAAAGAAAGACCCCACTAACCTGATGAGGGATTCTGTTTCTCCAGTAGGCATTTTGTTTGCTGTCTTTCGGGCCTACTTATTAAGATCTTTTTAAGATACCACACATTTAGTAAATGAGTTAGTAAATTTTGAGCCACATTAAAATGTCAATCTCTTTATTTAAATGACAGGAACGTTGCCAAAATCTCTTTCATCCTTTAGATCATGTTTATGGTAGTTAGGAAATCTCCACTAAAATCCTTGGCTTAGACCCCTGTTCCTGGACTCTTGATTATAATTTTGCAGTCAGAAATTCTCCAGACTTAAGGGAATCTTAACATACACATTTTTTTGATAAAATTTCTCCTTTTAACTCAAAATTGTGTAATGTATCATTTATGTAACTTCTTTTGTCATTACAGTAGCATGCTAGAATTTCATTAAAGGGAACTTAGGCATAATTCTATGAAAAAGGAGTCAGAAACCAGTTGAAATTTTTTTTCTTGGAAGGGAAAAAAGATATCTGAAAGGCTATTCGGGGGAAAAAAATACAGATACTGGCTCTTTGTTTTTCTAGAAACTTTAACTGAACTGAGCATGCTTCTGGAGGACTTAATATATCTCTGCTAACTGATACATATTTTTATATTAAACTTAATTACATTGATTTCTATGATTTCCCATTTAAGCTGCTACACTTTTTTTATTATTTATTTTCCTACTTAAAAAGGTAAGACTTCGTTATTATACTTTTGTACTCACGTGCATTATGTAAATAATTAATGGCTAGAAAGGCAAGTAGAGATTTTCGTTGCCTTCTGACTTAACACATTTGTGCTTGGACAAGTTTCCCTTTGCACATGTGTGAGAAGCAAAAATGGAAGGGTCTTAAAACTTAAAACTATGTGAAATACCTTCTGATCTCTTAGAGGAAAAACACTATCTATTAATTTACCCAATTTACACTAATTTTAGTCCACAATAAACATTTAGCTATCCCTTAGAATTTATGCTCTTCAGTCATAGAGAGTTATTAGCTTTCATATTTGTTAACAATTTAATATCTATTCAAATCATCCCATGATCTTTACTTTCAATACAAACATGAAAGGCAATCATATATATGTATATATGTTTACACACACACACAAACACGTGCATGCTTTTCTAAAGTTAGGTCAATGAAATACATAGAAAGAATAACAAGTAGAAATTTCTAAGTTAATAATCAATTCAGGACTATTTAATCCTGAGTAATTAATCCCACATTTTCTACACTCATTCTGATTCGGCAGAAGTATGATAACTTGACTCAATAGTTTGAACAACTTAAGTACATCTCACAGAGAAAATGAAAGTGTGAAGCATTTTACAAGTTACCTTCTCACCCAATATGATTTTTTTTTTTTTTTTTTACTGTTTTACTCGATGGTAAAGTAATCAGGCAACAGCCATGCTTGTCATCTCTTTGGTTATGGCCATCTGTATTTAATTACATTTCTTTCCTAAATGTTTCGAGTCTCATAAAACGTGCATGTGACAAAACTTGTTTAAGTGTTCATCTTCACTGCTACTGCTAAGAAATCAGTCACAGTGCCACACGTTTACCTTGATTTGGAAGGACAACAGTGTTCATGTGCAGGACATTTTAGCATAAAAGAGGATTATGGCTTGTTAATAAAAGACATAAAAATTGATCACTCCTGCTTAAGATTTCCTTAGTTACTTTGTGCAATTTTTTTAAGGGATGTAAATTACTTTGTTTTTCACTGAACAGAGCCTTTTGATACATATTTGACCAGATGCCCAGTTGGATGATTAGACTTATAAAGGCTTTCCTGAGCACAAGAAGTGGTGGATGTCACAACTTGTTTCAAAGGATCTTAAAAAAAAAAAAAAAAAAGATCTTAGCTTAAACATAAAAGAGAAAGAGGGAAGTATTGCTGTATGTCTTTAGCTCATATTAAATAGGAAGTGTGAGAGAGTTGAAAATTAATTGTAATGACTAATTTTCTGTAATAAATACCAAATTTCCTATCTTTGACAATATAGAGTTGATAAGCTAAACATAATAAATTTTAATTTGTATCCACAGGCTTTCATAAACAGGTTAGTTAAAATAAATACAAAAATATTAGTATGGCTCTTGCTCACAGATATCAGAAAAATCCTTATGGATTTCCATATTTTGTAAAAGTGTGTGTATATATGTGTATGTATATGTATCTGTCTGTATTAACATTCATGTATATGAATATGTGTGGGTGCATGTATTACTGATGACCACGAAATAAGCATCTTATGTAAGAATGTAATGTTCTCATCAAATTTCAGCTCCCAGTGAAGCCCCAACAGCAGTAGGCGTAAAAGTCTTATCATCTTCTGAGATATCTGTTCATTGGGAGCATGTTGTAGAAAAAATAGTGGAAAGCTATCAGGTGAGTTCAATTTTTACCAAACTAAATACACTTGCTCATAATTATCAGCATACCTTTTCAAATATGTTGCATCTCTCAACGTTCTGTGTCCTGATTTATGTGACAACTAACACTATATTCTCTGTGTTTAATATGTTGGACATTTATTAACTAACTTATGAGTAAAGCAGGGGTTCCCAACTGACTTATCTATAAGAGATGTAGAGTCCTGTGTGTAGGTAAACAATTGGCCAAAATAAAAACTAAGGTAATAACACTTGGGCTTAAGCACAATCTTTTGAAACAAACATTCTCATAAAATGCTGGTGAATCTCAAGTTTTTGGGAAATCATTTTCGTAGTTTGGTAATTTAATTTTTTTTACCCTATTTGACTCATTAGTTCCACTTCCAAAAAGCCCTCCAAAGGAAACACTTCTAAATATACTAAATATATATCCCATTATGTTATCTATGAAGGCAGAAAACTGACAACATTCAAAATGTCTCAAAGGAAACTTCCTTCAAAATAAGTCTTAAAAGTGTAGTAGGATTTATCCAGAAGGATAGGGGAGGACTTGTCTTAGTCAATGGAAATAAGACCTGGGGAATTGAAGCTAGTTCTGCTGGGATCTTTAATATGAAATTTAGACTTGATTTTGTAGGAAAAGTGAAGTCATCTCATATTTTTAAGCACAAAGAGTGAAAATTAAGAGGAACTGACATCGTCCTGCCTTTGCAGATGAGAAAATGGATGCCAAAGAGATTCAACAACTGACCTTAGTTAGCACTAATATGCTCAAATAAAGTGCTGCAACCTGGCTTTCTCAAGACCCTGTTTCTGAGATAGAACCACAAAAGCAGCCCCAGGTTTTAAGTTTTAAACTCACAAGCTAACAGGAACCTTATTTTCTTGGTATCATAGGTTATGATTTGTATAGATGTCAAAGTGTTTTCAGATCATCTTTGCAAGTGATCAGCTGAGGTTGTCACCAAGAGAGTGGAATTATAGGAGTGGACTGTGAAGTTCCAATATTCATAACTTATTAAACTTACATTTGCAGCTGGTAGAAAAGAAATGGAAATGGAAAAGAGAGAGAAATTCACTAGATGTTAGAAAGCCCTGTAATAAATAAGTCTGAGGTATCTTGGGAGAACACATCAATATTTAGAGCTTTCAAGCCATATTTTGGACTTAGGATTTCTTCTTTTTTTAATATTATTTGTAAGCAATAAAAAAGAGAAAAAAATGATTATTTAATATATAACCCATGCATTAACTCAAAGTGCTAAAGATGTATTATTACTTTGCTAAAAACATACCACAGAAATAGATATTTTCTCTGTCTGAGAATTATATGTTGACTATTTTATAATTTCTGACATGCAGAGTAAAAAGGAAATATGAGATGTGAAACAATGCACTGGCACCAGTGAATTTAGACAATAATCAGAATATACGCTCTTGATGCGGAATAAGCTAAGTAGAGGATTCTCAATTAAATAGCAAAAAATAATCTTAACAGCTAGGATTTTCTCAAATGATCAAAAACCGTATGCCATGGAGAAGTTTAGTTTCACACATTTCTGACATTTCACAACTCCATACTAGAAAATTATGAGCTCTGCTGCTGAACAGACATGGGTTTATCTCTCAGCTCTGTCACTTAGAAACCTTGTGGAAAATTTATTCAAACTTTCTGGGCCCTAGTTTCCTCACTTTTAAAGTTGAGAGTAATGAATGCCTCATATCCTGTTGTGTGGAATAAATGAAATAACCTGTGTTTAACGCTTTTCCCTGTTTTATATCATTGGACATTTGAAGACAATGATGACGATGATGATGATGACAATGATGATAATGTTAATAACGATAAGAATGATAATATTTGTTGAGCCCTATGATGTTAAACATTTAATTAAGCTCATCGTATTGAATCCACACAATCCCAGGAGATAAACACTATTATTTTCTCCATTTTAAAGGTGAAGAACTTGAAGTTAAAAATATTTATCTGAGTAATAATTGGTATAAAATGACTTGAACCTAGGTCTTGCCTCTCCAGAGAATGGTTAATTTAAAATGTTGGAAGGGCTTTCCTGGTGGCGCAGTGGTTGAGAGTCCGCCTGCCAATGTGAGGGACACGGGTTCGTGCCCCGGTCCGGGAGGATCCCACATGCCGCAGAGCGGCTGGGCCTGTGAGCCCTGGCCGCTGAACCTGCGTGTCCGGAGCCTGTGCTCCGCAACGAGAGAGGCCATAACAGTGAGAGGCCGCGTATCGAAAAAAAAAAAAAAAAAATGTTGGAAATAAATCATAGAATTATTGCTTCTATTTATTCTTTCTTTAAAAAGCCTTTAAGTCTTTCACACAGAGCTTTAAATATCAAAGAGACAATCATGAAAGCTTAAAAGAGAAAATCTGTAACATTTATTCTCCTGTAAGAAAATGCCCCTTTATGGGGGAAAAGCTTGACTCACTATAAGGCGGTTATTGTTACTATTTTTAGATATGAAGGAAGAAGCCGGTGGTTTAACAAGATAGACGATCAAGAAAACTAATACCCTACTGCACTTCCCATGAAAATGTACTATGGGTCTAAGTTATAAAGAAACAGAGAAAAAAAGCAGGACATTAATAAAATAAGATAAATAAAAAGTTGGAAAAGCCCAAGTCCTGTGTGATTGACCCCATCTCAAGGTTAATTTCCTGACATTTCAAGTGAGAACTGCTGGCAATTGGATTTTAAAAAATCCCTTGTGGTTTTAAAGTGTATCTTGTAGAAAGTTTAAGTTTTATTCTTTTCCCCGCCTGGCCTAGTTAAAGAGCTCCCCACTTTTAATCTTAATTTCCTGCAGTGTAGGTGAACTAGAAGAATGCAAGAAGTATTTCTTATCAAAGGCTTATTAGAAATTTGGGCTCCTGCCCAGGAATCCACAAAAGACTTAGTTTACTCACCCAGCAGGTAGAGAACTCACTTAATGAAAACAAGTAAAATATTCTACCAGGAATAATAAATACAAAACCTCTTAGCAGCTGAATTGGAGATTAATGCAGATGATTGATTTCACAGCCATCTTAAAATATTAACCATCCTGAGTAGTTTACACAGATGTCTTTAAAAGTTAAATTATTATGGTGAGGGCTTCCCTGGTGGCGCAGTGGTTGAGAGTCCGCCTGCCGATGCAGGGGACACGGGCTCGTGCCCCGGTCCGGGAAGATCCCGCGTGCCGCAGAGCGGCTGGGCCCGTGAGGCATGGCCGCTGAGCCTGCGCGTCAGAGCCTGTGCTCCGCAACGGGAGAGGCCACGGCAGTGAGAGGCCCGCATATCACAAAAAAAAAAAAAAAAAAAAAAAATTATTATGGTGAGCATAAGCTCATATTTAGGAAGTGCTGTATTTTCTTATTTTGGAGAAGCCATCTATCTTCATCTGGATCTCCCCAAAGCAAAGTCTGACACACAGGTATAGAAGAAGTTAGTGTTTTTGTTGTTATTGTTGTTTGTTTGTTTTAAATATGATCCCAGGGAGCAGACATGAGGAAAAAGCAGAATGAACAGGAGAAGGTTAGAAAAATGCTTTGTCTTGTTGGCAACCACTGTGGGCACTGGTACTCCGTCCCTTGTGATCTTAAAGGAGCTTCATAAATGTGGTTGAGAATTACCCCACATAGAATGAAAGGGGAAGCGTTCATCCACTGCTATTCCCCATTGGTTAAGAGTGGCCCCAGGGGCATCACCTCCCCTCCCTGCATTGATTGCAGGACAAGGTTCACACTGCAGCATCAAGGATGACCCAAGACAGGGAGTGAGAAGTTAGCAGCAATAGCAGAGGAAAAATGCTAACTGGTAGTACTTATGGGAAGCTGGTTGAAGCCTACATAGAATTGTTTGGTTCCTGCACCAATGGCTAGAATAAAAAGAACTTTGAATAGGTTCCAAGAAGTGTGAGAATACAGATTTTGAGTGATATATATTATTACTATTCCTAACCCACAGAATGTACTAATACTTGAATTAGTCTGGGATAATATAAAGTTATTATATAATATCTTTTTTAGACATTTTTCACTTAAATAACTGTATTTAGATTTTTTTCCCTAAAAACTGTATTAAATCCATAACAAAAGAATATTCAAGCTGTCAGAAGATATTTTTTTCAGAAAATTCAGAATTTGAAGAAGAAAGTTTGGAAATCTGATACAAAAGTTTACTGAAGTGGAAAATAATAAAATGGAGCAAGCCTAATTTTCAAAAGTACTAAATATCTTTAAATGCTTCCATAATTGTAACATCCAGGTTTTATTCTAAGCCTCTTTGGAGAAAATGAGATTAAAGAGCTGCTTTTCCTACAAATTTCTTAAATTTTCCTCGGAAGGGATATAACTATTATCTTTGTACAAAAGTGGTGTTATTGTAGTTCATAAATGTATGGAAATTATAATTATTCTTTGTTATATGATTTAGCCCTTTTTCTGAGGCTTTTCTTTTCAGCTTCCCAATACTGTTATAAAGAGTAAATTTTCTTGGGACAAAATTATACACTTAGATCATCCCATCAAATATATTAGTAATTTTATGTGAACTTAAACATTTTGATTTCTTACTTTATTTATAAGATCTATGGAGGAAAATAACATGTTTGCTTGGTTCACTACTATATTCCTAGCATCTAGCACATAGCTGGTACAAAGTAGATACCCAGAAAATATTTGTTCAATGAATGAATGAGTGCCATACATCAAATGCAGTCCTAGGTACACAACATTCGAAATAATGAATACCTGTCCTCAAGGACTTTATAACCTAGCAATAGTAGAGACCAGTAATGAGGTAATTCCATAATTGTTTAATAAACACTAAGATAAGTTAACACTAGACATGGGGTGTTGTGGAGATTTTAGGAACATGTAAATAAAGAGTTAAATTTATATAATGCCACAGTGTTAAATAGAAATAAATACACTATATGTTGCTCTAGCATGTGAAAATGAATTTATGGTCTACTGTCCGTAAAGCAGGACCTGCTTCATTTATTTATCTTTTTCCACTAGTTCATCCAGGCTGCCTTTTGGTCTCCCTAGTGATTAATCAAAAGGAGTGCATTTGTTCTGCTCCGTGACTACAGGTTCAACCCTTCACTCCAAACAATTTTCTCACAGATTAATATTGGTTCTTCACCCCAATGGGCAACTCACTGCAGGGATCAAACACAGTGGTCCAAATTATCTATTTGGAAATTATTTCTAAGTGCATGGCCAGTGCCTAGTTCAGATGAAAAAAAATAATAATGCTACATTTTACATATATACACTATTTATTTTAGAATTCTTTGAAAACATTGCAAGTTAAATCTAAAGGTATGCTTTAAATTAAGGAGAGACAGATTATTCAACCAAAATAATTTTGTATCAGATGCTTTCATTAGTAGAGGTTTAAAATACTGTAAAAGTGTCTGTAAAAAATCTCGTATTCTAAGATAAGAAAGTCAGAGATTATTTGATACACTCAGTAACTCTCTCTGTTCCCTAGTTACCAGGGCATAACTAAGGCACTGCTTAAATTTATTGTGAATTTCAATGGAGACTGTGTAATTTAGATCCCTGCCAAAGTCAGATGAATAAAATAATTGGCCATTTAAGATATAGGTGCAAAGAGTAAATTAAAGAAAATTTTGTTCTTCCCTTTTGTATTGCCAAAATGCCTCATGGAATTTTGGGTAAAATGTCAAAATTTTGTCACTTTAAGTCCTCATTTTAATACTTAGTGTCTTTTAGAAATGGTCTAGTTAAAAATCTTCTCCTCTTTAAACGGGATAGAAAAGTTGTTATAATGAATGAATAAAATTTTAAAATGTGCTCTCAGTCAACCAGTATCCACACAAAAATGGCTAAACCTTGGGGATGTCAGTTTTGATTGCTATAAAACAGGCTAAATACTACCATTATTGGTTTGTTGAGAAAATAATACACATGGATGATCCTACTTTAGTACCTGGCATTTCACTAGAATATAAATATTCATTTTATTTCTCTTCAGTCAAGCAGTGGAAGAGGCCTTACATGTCACACAGTTCAAATTTCCACTAAAATATAGGCCGTCTTCCTCCTTCTCAGATGAATGTAGGCACTGCCTGGATGCTTCCAACACCAGGAAACTCATACCTTCACAAGGAGGGTCCCATCCTCATAAAGGCTTTTCTCTGCCAACTGAGATCTGCCTTTGGAGCCACTTGTAATATTCCACTTCCTTGGTTCTGAAGCCATCCTTCTGGTCACAGGACAGAAAAGCCAAAGAGACTCCATCAAAATTATTAGGAAATATATTATTGGCATCAGAAAAAATGAGCCCTAGTAAACAAAATAAAAATATCACAAAGGAAACCAATAAGCAAGTAGTAACTAGCCTTTGTTCTGAAATGTGCTCATTCTTCATATAAACTTCACTTTGTTACTAAGGGAATTTGAGCCATCCAGTTCCATTTTATAATTTCTTTTATGTGTTTACATAAATAAAAACTTCAGGGTTATATAAATAATAGATATTATCTTCTAGTATGTTGGTTAATTGTGAAATTAAAATCCCATTGTTTTATAGACAGGGCATCTAAAATATAAAATTGCAGTATACTTATAAACAATCCTCTCCTTTTTATTTATAACTGAGATGTAATTATAGATTTTTAACCAATAAAACAGCCTTATTGGAAGAATGAATATTATAATTCATAGCTTTTACTTAAACTTTAAGAGACAAGGAAGGCTGTCATTGATATGCTGGTTGGTAAAAGTAATCATTTCTAATCACAACATGAATGAAATTTTTAAAAACTTATTTTAAAGATAATTTCTATAACTAATCAAGTTATTAGGTATAATATTTCTTTGATATCTGGCCTCTATATAAGTTCAAAGGAAATAATTTTATATACATACTTCTGAAATAAGCTAGCAAGGTTTAGGCCACATGACTATTTTTGTTTATCAATGGCCCTTAACAAATTTGCAATCATGTAAACACAAATAAAGCTGGAAATAAATGATATAAATTATTGTGACAAATACTTCCAAACAGAAACCAGTTTTGTATTTGAGAGCAAATCTTATGCACATATTTTTGTCTTTTTCTCTTTTTTCATCTGTGTGTGACTATTTCAGGCAATGAGGTGAGCCTTTAATTTGCTTTTGACACTTCTAATCAGATCTGCATTGTGTGCCTTGCCATTTTCTAAGACTGATAGAAATGTAAGTAACGTTAAGTAATATTTGAGAATATGATGCTCAGCCAACATCCAGTGTCAGAACAACTTGAAAAGAATTTTTGCAACTGAATTGTCTGAATCATGAAAAAATATTACTCAACTTGTATGTTTGCAGATTCGGTACTGGGCTGTCCATGATAAAGAAGCAGCTGCACACAGAGTGCAAGTCACTAGCCAAGAATACTCTGCCAGGCTGGAGAACCTTCTGCCTGACACCCAGTACTTTATGGAAGTCAGGGCCTGCAATAGCGCAGGGTGTGGACCTCCCAGTGATATGATTGAGACCTTCACCAAGAAAGCACGTGAGTCTCAATATTTGCATTTTATACTTGTCAAAAACTCCCAATTGATTCAGTGATGATGCAGGTATATTTGAGAGAAAATTACTACTTAGCAGTCTGAGCACTTTTGGTTTTCAATTTTAACCTTTAAAATCACACAAGATTTTAAAAAAACAAAAACAAACAAAAGCATTGATAGTTATTGTAGATGATGAAAAAATGTGGAGAATACCTTCACACATTTAATGTTCCATTAAAGAACCTCCCTTTGTGAAGACTGCCCACAAAATTTTGTATCATTAGACAATTAATTTGTTATTGTTTTAAACTTGGTTTTATAGGAATGCATCAACAACATAAGAAAATGAAAATTCTGTCATTTTTCTATGCTTTGATCTATAAACCTTCGTCACTGCACAATGCAAATACAAGTTAAATGTTGCAGCATTATGTTCACTCTCTTATTATTGTATGTTCTCATTGTTAATATAACAAGACCACCTGCCCTGCTCACATGTTTTGGTCATACCCATCTCCCTGGCTTCACTATGATAGCTCTTTTTTGAACCCAAGTTGAATAGATGGAAGAGGAGAACTTATATTCAGAATTTAGGGAAACTTCCCAAGAATTTGAAGACATGATTACCATTAGAGTTTGAAAATTTATGAAATTCACTTGGGGGAAAAGAAAGTTCTAATGAAATAATAAAACATGATGGTAAGATCCAGGCTTTGGTATCAGACAGGGGTTTCTAATCTGTCTCTATCACTTACTCAATGTGTGACAGTGGACATATTACATCAAATCTTTAAACCTCAGCTTTCTAATTTGTAAAAAGAGCATTTATTCCTTTGTTCTTTTTTCAATTTATTCCTTCATCAAAAATATGCTACGTGCCCAAAACAGGTCTAAGCGTTGACAATACAGAAAGGATGAAGCAAGACCCAGATCCTCTTCTCACAGGGTTTAACAAACTAATGGAAAGAGAGGAAGAAAGAGAGAGGGAGAGAAATATGACAAATAAATAAGTATAACATCAGATGACAGAACAATAAAGTGAATAAACAGATAATATGGGAGGAGGAGACCAAGATGGCAGAGTAGAGGACCTAAGCTCACCTCCCCCCATGAACACATTAAAAATACATCTAGACATGGAGCAATTCTCACTGAAAACAAACTGAAGATTGGCACAAATACTCTTCTACGACCAAGGCTGTAAAGTAATATCCACATGGAGTCAAGTAGGAAGGGAGAAGAAGTAATCAGGTTGGGACTCATGACCCTAGTACAGGACATAAAAGAGGAGGGGATATCACAGACTCAGAGATCTCCTGGGGAGTGAGGGGTTTGAGTCACATATCAGACACCCCAACCCTGGGGTCCAACACCAGGAAGATGAGTCCCCATAGCAGATTAAACCACCAGTGGGACTTACAAGAGAGCTGTAGAAAACAAGACTCCACTCACAAAGAGTGTGCACACACAGTTGCTTACTCCTGGGAACAAGAAAGAGGAATCAGATTGAAAATCCTCTGATGGCTTTCCTTGGGCTTTCCCAGCATGTGTCCCAACCTGCACCAGTTGCCTTCTTCAGAAAAGTTCCCAGATAGGACAAAGGCTACATTGCCAAGGAGAGTGTGCAGTTGTGGGGGAAGGAACTGGAAAAGAAACAGCACTGCATCTGAATGGGGCAAGGGCAGCCATTACTTGTGCTCACAGAGGCTCCAAATTGGGAGCTGTCTCAAGCTCTGACTGGCTTGCCAGGACTGTCTTATCAAATGCTCTGGCCTGCACTGGGCACCCACTCTGACCCCCTTGTTCTAGCACTGCTCCCCTCTGAGGCAATGATTCTGTTGCTGTGGGGAAGGAGAGGACACATTTATAGGGAATGGAACCATCTTAGACCTGAACCTCAGGGCTTCTGCTCCAGCACCCTGGGACTCAAAACTGCCCCCAGTAGGGTGGTGATGGCCACTGAGCATAGGAGAAGCTCCAGTACACACCTGGCTCTGGATCTAGTCCTTCTGTCTCCAGCCTCACATTCCAGCAGAATGATAGTTACCAGCACACCGTAAGAGGAGATGTGACCCATGCTCACTTCAGATCCAATTCTCCCACCAAAGCCACTGGACACACAGAGATTGATAGGGTCACTACAACACAAGAACACCCCTTAAAGAACTGAATAGTTAAATGTTTCACCTAATTTCAAAGAGACTGAGAAAATTAAATATGAAGATAGAGAAATTTTCAAACAAAAGAAAAAGAAAAGAACCTCCGTAAAAAAACAACTAATGAAGCAGAGATAAAGAGTTTAAAGCATTAATAATAAGAATGCTAACTGAACTTGGGAAAAGAATAGATGAAGACAGTGAAGATCTTAACTAGGAATTAGAAAATGTAAAAAAGAACAAGTCACAACTGAAGAATGCAATAACTGAAATGAAAAACACTAGATGGAATTAGCAGCTGACTACGTGATACAGAAGAACACATAAGCAATCTGGAAGATAGAATAATGGAAATAATCCAATCAGAACAGCAAAAGAAAAACAGATTTTAAAAAATTGAGAACAGTTTAAGGGACCTCTGTGACAATATCAAGCATACTAACATTTTTTTTAATTAATTAATTTATTTTTGGCTGTGTTGGGTCTTTGTTTCTGTCTGAGGGCTTTCTCTAGTTGCGGTGAGCGGGGGCCACTCTTCATCTCAGCACGCAGGCCTCTCACTGTCGTGGCCTCTCTTGCTGCAGAGCACGAGCTCCAGACGTGCATGCAGGCTCAGTAGTTGTGGCTCACAGACCTAGTTGCTCCGCGGCATGTGGGATCTTCCCAGACCAGGGCTCGTACCTGTGTCCCCTGCATTGGCAGGCAGATTCTCAACCACTGTGCCACCAGGGAAGCCCCCATACTAACATTTTTATTATGCAGGTCCCAGAAGAAGAAGAGAGAAGGGGGTCAAAAGTGTATTTGATGAAATTATGGCTGAAAACTGCCCAAACCTGAAGGAGGAAACAGATATTCAGATACAGGAAGCACAGAAGATCCCAAACAAGATGAACCCAAAGAGACCCAAGACGTATCATAAAGAAATGGCAAAAGTTAAAGATAAGGAGAGAATTCTAAAGGCAGCAAGAGAAAAACAAAGAATCACTTACAAGGGAACCCCCATAAGGCTATTAGCTGATATTTCTACAGAAGCTTTGCAGGCAAGAAAGGAGTGGCATAAAATATTTAAAGTGCTGAAAGGGAAAAACCTACAAACTAGGGTACTCTACTCAGCAAGGTTATCATTCAGAATTGAAGGAGAGATAGGAGAAGCAAAACTAAAAGAGTTTATCAATACAAAGCCAACCTTACAAAAAATTTTAGAGGGTCTTCTCTAAGTGGAAAAGAAAAGGCTACAAGTAGTAAGAGTTGATATGAAAGAAAAAACCCTACTAGTAAGAGCAAATATATAGTAAAGGCTGTGGATCACCACTTAATAAGCAACTATGAAGATTAAAAAACGAAAATTGTAAAATCAACTATAACCACAATAGACTGTTAAAGGATAAACATGAAGAAGCAAAATATGACATCAAAATAGAAAATGTGTGGAGGGGAGTTTAAAACGTAGATCTTTTAGAATGTGTTTGAATTTAAATGATTATCAGTTTAAAACAAGTAGTTATAGTTGTAGGTCAACATATATGGACTCCATGGTAACTACAAGTCAAAACCCACAATTATAGATACACAAAAACTGGAGAGAAAGGAACACGAACAATGACAATAAAGAAAATCAAACCACAGGGAAGAAACTAAAAGACAACTACAAAACGACCAGAAAACAAGTAACAGAATGGCAGTATGTACATATCTATCAATAATCACTTCAAATGTCAATACACTAAATGCTCCAATTAAAAGACACAGAGTGCTTGATTAAATAGAGAAAAAGTCCCATCTATCTGTTACTTACAAGAGACTCACTTCAGAGCTAAAGACACACAGAGACTGAAAGTGACGAGATGGAAAGAGATTCATGCAAATGGAAACTAAAAGAAAGCTGAGGTAGCAATACTCATAACAGATACAGTCTATAACAAAAGGCAGAGAAGTGCATAATATAATAAAATGGTAAAGGAAGTGATATAAGGAGAGGGTATAACATTTGTTATCATGTATGCACCTAAACATATAAATCAAATATTAACAGACAAAAAGGGAGAAATTGACACTAATACAATAACAGTAGGGAACTTTAACATCCCACTTACATCAATGGGTAGATTATCCAGACAGATTATCAATAAAGAAACAATGGCCTTCATCATCAAAAAATCTACAAACAATAAATGCTGGAGAGGGTGTGGAGAAAAGGGAACCTTCTTGCACTGTTGGTGGGAATGTAAATTGATACAGCCACTATGGAGAAGAGTATGGAGGTTCCTTAAAAAATTAAAAATAGAACTACCATACAACCCAGCAATCCCACTACTGGGCATATACCCTGAGAAAACCATAATTCAAAAAGACACATGCACCCCAGTGTTCATTACAGCACTATTTACAATAGCCAGAACATGGAAGCAACCTAAATGTCCATCAACAGATGAATGGATAAAGAAGATGTGGCACATATATACAATGGAATATTACTCAGCCGTAAAAAGAAACGGAATTGAGTTATTTGTAGTGAGGTGGATGGACCTAGAGTCTGTCATACAGAGTGAAGTAAGTCAGAAAGAGTAAAGCAAATACTGTATGCTAACACATATATATGGAATCTAAAAAAAAAAAAAATTGATTCTGAAGAACCTAGGGGCAGGTCAGGAATAAACACGCAGACATAGAGAATGGACTTGAGGACACAGGGAGGGACAACCATAAGCTGGGACGAAGTGCGAGAGTGGCATTGACATATATACACTACCAAATGTAAAATAGATAGCTAATGGGAAGCAGCTGCATAGCACAGGGAGATCAGCTCGGTGCTTTGTGACCACCTAGAGGGGTGGAGTAGGGAAGGTAGGAGGGAGATGCAAGAGGGAGTGGATATGGGGATATATGTGTATATATATAGCTAATTCACTTTGTTATATAGCAGAAACTAATACAACATTGTAAAGCAATTATACTCCAATAACAATGTTAAAAAAAAAAAAAAGATTAAAAGAAAAAAAGGAAACAGTGGCCTTAAAATGACACATTAGACCAGTTGGACTTAACAGATATCTACAAAACGTTCCACCCCAAAACAGCAGAGTACTCATTTCTTTCAAGTTCAAATGGCATGCTTCCCAGGATAGATCACACGCTAGGCCACAAAACAAATCTCAGAAAACTTAAGAGGATAAAACTTATATCAATCATCTTTTATAGTGAAAATGGTATGAAACTAGAAATCAATTACAGGAAGAAAAATGGGAAAAACATAGACCTAGGGAACTAAAAAACATACTACTAAAAAACCAATGGGTCAATGAAGGAAATCAAAGAGAAAATCAGAAAATACCTAGAGACAAATGAAAATAAAAACACAGCTTTCCAAAATCTATGGGATACAGCAAAAGTAGTTCTAAGAGGGAAGTTTATAGCCATACAGGCCTACCTGAAGAAAGAAGAAATATCTGAATAAACAACCTAATCTACCATCTAAAGGAATTAGACAAAGAAGAGGAAACAGAGACTAAAATCAACAGAAAGAAGGAAATAATAAAGATAATAGAGGAAATAAATAAAATTCAGACCAAAACAAATCAGTAGAGAAGATTTAATGCAATTCGTATCAAAATACCCATGACATTTTCACACAAATAGAAGAAATAATTCTAAAATTTTATGGAACCACAAATACCCTGAATGGCCAAAATAATTTTGAGAATGAAGAACCAGAGCTGGAGGTATCATGCTTGCTGACTTCAGACTATACTATAAAGCTACAGTAATCAAAACAATATGGTAGTGGCACAGTACAGACACATAGGTCAATAGAACAGAATAGAGAGCCCAGAAATAAACTCATGTTCTTATAGTCAATTAATATATGATAAAGGAAACAAGAGTATACAAAGAGGAGGGGCTTCCTTGGTGGCGCAGTGGTTGAGAGTCCACCTGCTGGTGCAGGGGACACGGGTTCGTGCCCCGGTCCGGAAAGATCCCACATTCTGTGGAGTGGCTAGACCCGTGAGCCATGGCTGCTAAACCTGCGCATCCAGGGCCTGTGCTCCGCAATGGGAGAGGTCAAAACAATGAGAGGCCCGCGTACCACAAAAAAAAAAAAAAAAAAAAAAAAAAAAAGAGTATACAAAGGGGAAAAGACAGTCTTTTCAATAAGTGGTACTAGGAAAACTGGATAGATACATGAAAAAGAATGAAATTAGAAGATTTTCTTAATACCATATGCAAAAATAAGCTCAAAATGGATTAAAGAGCTAAATGTAAGACTAGAAACCATAAAATTCCTATAAGAAAAGATAGGCTGAACACTATTTGACATTTTTTGGGGTCTGTTTCCTCAGGCAAAGGAAACAAAAGCAAAAATAAACAAATGGGACCAAATTAAACCTAAAAGCTTTTGCACAGCAAAGGAAATCATTGAAAAAATGAAAAGGTAACCCACTGAGTGGGAGAAAATATGTGCAAATTATATGACAGATAAGCAATTAATATCAAAAATATGTAAACAGTTCATTCAACTCAATATCAAAACAACAAACCCATTTTAAAAATGGGCAGAAGATCTGAATAAGCATTTTTCCAAAAAGACATACAGATGGCCAATAGGCACATGAAAAGATGCTCAACACCACTAATCACTGACAAAGTCAAATCAAAACCACAATGAGATATCACCTCACAGTTGTCAGAATGGCTGTCATCAAAAATACTGCAAATATCAAATTTTGGCAAGGATGTGAAGAAAAGGGAACCCTAGTATATCATTGGTTGGAATGTAAATTGATGCAGCCACTATGGTAAGCAGTATGAAGGTCCTCAAAAAACTTAAATCCAGCAATTCCACTCCTAGATATATATCTGAAGAAAATAAAAATACTAATTTGAAAATATGCATGCACTCCAGCGTTCATAGCATTATTTATAACAGCCAAGATATGGAAGCAACCTAAATGTCCATCAATAGATGAAGGGACAAAGTAGTTGTGGTATATATATACAATGGAGTATTACTCAGCCATTAAAGAAGGAATGAAATTTTGCCATTTGCAACAATGTGGATGGCCCTGGAGGGTATTGTGCTTAGTGAAGTAAGTCAGACAAAGTCAAATACTTAATGTTACCACTTATATGTGGAATAAAATATAAAACAGATGAATGAACATAACAATATAGAAGCAGACTCACAGATATAGAGAACAAACCAGTGGTTGCCAGTGCAGAGAGGGAAAGGGGATGGAGTAAAATAGGGGTAGGATTAAGAGGTACAGACTGCTATATATAAAATAAATAAACTACAAGGCTATATTGTACAGCATAGGGAATATAGCCAATATTTTATAACCTCTAAAGCAGTAGAATCAATAAAAATATTGAATCACTGTTGTACACATGAAACTAATATAATATAGTAAATTAACTACACTTCAATTAGAATTAAGTAATAAATAAAATACAATAAATAAACAGATAATACAATTTAAAACTGCCTGGGTGGGAGCCAAATTCGAATCTGATGGTTGGGAATATCCTCTTAGAGAAGATGGCATTTGACCTAGGATATGAGTAATAAGAAGGATGTCTTTGCAGAGGAGATTCTATCAGGCAGATAAAATAACTAGCACAAAGCCTTTGTATGATAAGAGTGTGGTATGCTTTACTTGTAGAAAGACCAATAGTTCCAGAGCATAGGCTCTGAGTTGAGGAGGAAGAAGGGTGCTGGAGTCATAATAAGAAGGGTCTTATAGATCATAGTAAGGAATTAAAATTCTTTCTAAGTGTGATAAGAAATCATTGGAAGATAGTAAGGCAGAGAGTGATACCTAATTTATGTTTTTTTTTAAATTGTTCTGGGTAGACAATGGATACTGGTGGAATAAAAGTGAAAGCAGAATAGCAAATTAGGAGACCTTTTTTAGTATTTGAGGCAGCATAGCAAATTAGGAGACCTTTTTTAGTATTTGAGGAAGAAACATTGGTAGCCAGCATTAGGTGATAATGGAGATAGAAAGAAGTGGAAAATTTTCGGCAGGCAGAGTTGAAAATTTGCAGCTAATTTGGATGTTGGCAATAAATGGAATGGAAGACTGAATCGATTTTGGCTTGAGAAATTGGGGGTTTTGTTGTACCATTTAGTAAATATGGGAAAGTCTCACAGAAAGATTTGGGGGTACATAGTAAATGTTCTGTCTTGATTATACTGCATTTGAGAAACCTTTTAGTCAGTTAGGAGGAGAAAGGAAGTTGCACATATATGTCTAGAGGTCGAGAGAGATGAGCTTGAGATAAAATTGTGTGTACTCAAAACCATGGGCCCAGGTGTAAGGTTTAGGGAAGATTCATATATAGAGGAGAGAAGTGTGCTCAGGATCAAGTCCTAAGTCATTCCACCAGTTGGAAACTGGGCAGAGGACATGGAGCTAGCAAAGGATGATTAATGAGAAGGAACAACCTGACAGATAGGAGGAAAGATTATAAGAGACTATGAAACTTAAGAAAAGATATTCAAGAAAGAATTGGAAGGTCAACTCTGTGAAATACTGCAAGGATGTTAAGTTTTAAAAGAATAAAAAAGTGACATTAGATTTGGCCAAGTGGAGATGATTGATTACCTTGAAAACAGAAGTTTCAAAAGACTGGTGGAGGGGCTTTCCTGGTGGCGCAGTGGTTGAGAGTCTGCCTGCCGATGTAGGGGACACGGGTCCGTGACCCGGTCCGGGAAGATCCCACATACTGCGGAGCGGCTGGGCCCGTGAGCCATGGCCACTGAGCCTGCGCGTCTGGAGCCTGTGCTCCACAATGGGAGAGGCCACAACAGTGAGAGGCCCGTGTACCGCAAAAAAAAAAAAAAAGACTGGTGGAGAGAGACATCCAAATGAAGGTTGATGAGACGAGAATAAGAGATCATTTTATTACCTACCTCCCAGGGTCCCAGTGCATTAAATGAACCCATGGATGTAAAGTGCATACCATAGTGCCAGGCAAACAGTACAAACATCAGAATTAGCCATTGTTGTTGTCACATCATTATCAGTATTATAATTCCCGATGTGATACAGCTTGCAGAATTGAAATTGGATATGGTGACTATCAGTTGCATGTTATTACTTTCACAGCTCCAAGCCAGCCTCCAAGGATCATCAGTTCCATAAGGTCTGGTTCACGCTACATAATCACCTGGGATCATGTGGTTGCACTATCAAATGAATCCACAGTGACAGGATATAAGGTATATAAAAGATTACTAGATTATTTCCCACACAAGCTTCATTCTTACAAAGAGTGACTGATGTTTGGTTTTTTGTTTTGCCAAAACCCATCCAGCTCTCTCTTATTGTAGTGTGAAGCAGAATCAGATGACATGATAAATTTTGAAATGAGAGAAGATCTTCAGTGAATTCTAGAAAAATACTATCTCAAATGAGCAAGATAGAATAACTGCGAGTTGTTAGAATAATTAGTGTTTAAAAAAGAGAGAAAGAAAGAATCCATTTTTGTTTGACAATGATTAAGATAGTGTCGCCAAGCACACAGTGAATTCTTTGATGTATGAGGTACCCTCTGTAAATGAACAAAAATGGAAAAAAGGTTATTTCTATATATTCTCTATATCACACTATCACATTTTTCAGTCAACACTAACTTTTAGAAACAGTGTGAAAAAATTTTAATTACTAGGCATTTTTTAGACTAATTTAATATGTTGAAAGAGCCCTCATTCTTTACCTTTTTCATAAAAAGATACATTCTTTCTCTCTATTTTGGTAATTTCAAAAAATAAAATTTAGATGCTTAAGATGCATCCTCTTGGATCACCCTAAAAATAGATGAAATCAATTTCTGTGAATTAAAAATAACATGAATTTTCCAGCTAGTATTACACACAGCTCCCTAAGATTTTTTTTTTAATTAATAAAAGTATAAGCATTTTTATTCTGGTTTTAATGTTAGGGCATTGACTCCTTATTACCAATTTATTAAATATACATACTTTGAAACTTTTAAAGGTACTCTATAGACCTGATGGCCAGCATGATGGCAAGCTGTATTCAACTCATAAACACTCCATAGAAGTCCCAATCCCCAGGGATGGAGAATATGTTGTAGAGGTTCGTGCACACAGTGATGGAGGAGATGGAGTGGTGTCTCAAGTCAAAATTTCAGGTAAGCCAATCATTTAAGGCACATTTTAATTAAGTACTCATAAGTTCTAGGCCCATATGACTTCTCAAGGGTAAATGTGGGACTGATATTCACACTAATATCAGTATCATTTGTAAGTAGATTTGAAATGGTAAGGATGCCCTGAAACTTGAAACGTCTCCCTTTATGAGTCACAGAAGTATATTTGCAACCTATCAGATACCTATTGGTTATTATCTGGACAGCAAAGCACAATTAAAATACCATAATGCATTAAAATGGTACATAATACTAGATCATTAGATAATAATATCCAAACTTCTCTTATATCAAAAGGAAATTCACTGGACAACTATCAGTATTCTTCTCGCCCCCTTTTCTTTATCTTACACATATTAATATAAGATAGAAAGACAGTAGGTGATAGTTCCTTCCTTTACCAGTATGTCTATTTGTCTCAGTATAGCTATTCCTTTTCTGCAGACTCTAATTATTTCTCACAGCACTGGTTAATTTGAAATAAATATTTAAGGCAGTTATTTCTTCCCGTAGAACTCTACTAATTTTTAAAATTTTGATATTTTCTCTCACTCTGTATGCATGGTATAGTTTAATTATACTGAATTAAAATTGAGGTCATTTTGAGAATTTTATGAGACTATGAAGTGCTAGAAGATGTTAAATCAAAGATGGCCATAATTGATTTAGAATAAAATTTGGTGATTTATAGCTAAATAGATGACTGTTACATATGAACCTAAAATAAAAATCCTTTAAAAAATTCCAGTGTTTTTTGTCCAATCATGGTTATGCAAAGAAACTGTTGAATTAACATTAGGAAATGTCAGATGTTAGGTGAATAGTACTATTATAGACTTTTAAAAAATATGTTTGGATTTATTTGCAAATTATTTAAATTATTTGTAGTGAGAAAGCATGTAAATACAAATGGAAATTTTAGGTTTTCTTATAAATTCAAATTATTTACACTGAAAACACTTTTAGTTTAGACATTATTATTATGTCTTTTTAGAAAATCGTGAAAATATGAAAGGAAAAGAAAATAGTCATATTCCAAACACTTTAACTGCTTAACTAATGTTCAGTGGAATTTACTTTTAGTTACCCTATATACATATATAATTTCATGTGTTGGCTTCTATTGAATATATCGTGTCATATCCAAATTTTATCAATTATGTTTTATGAACATCCCCCATGTCATTGAAAACTTTATGCATTTTATTTAAAATTATACATAATATTCTCTCAAACAAATGTGCAATAGTTATCTACCCATTTCATAAATACTATTTTGAGTGCATTTTTATAAATATTTCTGCAGTTTAAATTTAAATACTCTTTCTGCAGGTTAAATTTAAACAATAAGTTAAAGAGTTTTACTTCTATATTTCAAAATTTATTTTAAAATATTTATCAACTTATATTCCTATTATCATTGTGTATGAGTACTAATGTTGCACCACTCCAACATTAGTCTCTTTCTTTTAAGTCATCACTACTTTAATAGGAGAAAATGGCATCTTTTTATTTTTGAAACTTTTTCTAAATTTTGAACTTTGATAACACACAGCTTCAATAGTTTCACACTTAGCAGGGCTGTTTCACAAAAGGAAATGAGAGGCAAATGTGGACATTATTTTGAGGGTGGTAAAATGCAAACGAACTAAGTAAAGTACTTTTGAACACTGACCTTCCCTGTCTAAAAGCCAGCTGTGGCACACTGTTGCTCTCTTCATTTTTACCCTTGATTCATTCCTAATGCAAAGCAGAACATAGTTTCTGGAATTTATAGAAGTTCTTAGCAGGGACAGATGCTGTAGCAGTGACAGTAGCATTAGTACAGTTATAACTAGTGGTGTGCTGGTAAATGTTAAACAATTGACTCTCCTGGGTAGGAGGAAGCCCTGGTTTATAGTGTTTGCCAATTTTTGTGATGTAAATATTTCATCATGTCCGATTTCAAGCTTCTCATATGATGTCACTAAATGTGGAGTTGGAAAGAGGTGGTTAGGAGCACACTGTGAGAATTGTCACCATACAGACGCAATAGGCATAACCTCAAGAGCATTGATGACAATTAAAACGTAGTAAATAATTAGGAAGTGAAGAGACTGAATATTTACTACCTTTGTTTTTTGGGGTTTTTTTGTTGTTTTTTGTTTGTTTGTTTTTGCGGTACGCAGTCCTCTCACTGCTGTGGCCTCTCCCGTTACGGAGCACAGGCTCCGGACGCGCAGGCTCAGCGGCCACGGCTCACGGGCCCAGCCGCTCTGCAGCATGTGGGATCTTCCCGGACCGGGGCATGAACCTGTGTCCCCTGCATAGGCAGGCGGACCCTCAACCACTGCGCCACCAGAGAAGCCCTACCTTTGTTTTAAACTTTTTCATTTCACTAATAAGTTTACATAATTTCAATTTTAATAACAGTGTTTTCAACAGCTCACTCTTAAACTTCCTTAAAATGTAATGGTTGCCTTTTGGAAGGTAGTATGGACCAGCTGCAGCACACCAAGTTTATAGTCTGATTGCCCAGTGTAAACAGCCCATGTGCAGAAGACACAGAATATGATTTTTTAGAAACCTCAAACATAGTTTTCTTTTTTTGCTAAGTAATGGAAAATATTCTTATTAATGCAGAATTTCTATTATTTATCTCAATCTGACCATAACTGTACCAAAAAAACCCCCAAAACAACTGTAGAATTGACATTAGGAAATGTCAGATGTTTGGTCAATAGCACCATTCTAGAATTTTATCATTTAAGTTTGGATTTATTTTCAAATTGTTTAAATTATTTGTAGTGAGAAAAGCATTTAAATACAGATGAAAATTTTAAGCTTTCTCATAAGTTTAAAAGACTCCCAGTACTTTCCTTTGTTTCAGTTTTCATGCCTAAAATATTTAGCCATGAATATAAACACTGCTACATTTTCATATTTGTATGCATTATGCTGTCCATTCATTCATTCATTCATTCAACAAATATACATTAAATGCCTAAAATATGTGAGGCATAGTTTATATACTTAAAATGTACTACCATTTATATATTTCCACATGCCTTCGAGTCCACATCACAATCATTCCTCGCTGGCTCTATTACAATTCTAAATATTTTTTAGGCTTCCAGTTTTGACTTCCTATAGTCCATTCCCTATGCAGCAGCCAGACTGATCCTTTCAAACATGTCAAATCATATAACTTTCCTCTCAGAAAGATATCCTATAAAATGAAATCTAAATTCCTCACCACCTACCTTTATAATCTGGCCCTGCCAAACTCTCTCCCCTCAGTTAATTGATTTCACCCTTGGTCCATTGACCTCTTTTTGCTTCTTGAACATACCAACATTATTCGTATTACCTTTAACCACCTGTACTTTTTCTTGCTGCTGCCTGGGATTCTCTGGATCTTGGCACAGAAGGTCATTCTTGTCATTTTTGTTTCTGCTCAGATGTCACCTTCTCAATGAAGAATTATTATACAGCCATCAATGTAAGATAGCCCTCTACTCCAATGTTTTGTCATATCATGTCACTTTTTAAATTTATTCATAATATTTATAGCTATTTAGAATTATCTTATTGTTATACTGTTTATTGTCTATCTTTATCTTTACTTGAATGTAAGCTCTGAGGAGGCAAGATCTTGCCTGCCCTTGTTCAACCCTTGAATCCCCAGCACTCAGAGGACATATCTGGCACATAACAGGGTTTTAGCAAATAATTCTTGAATGAATTCATGATTTCTGTATAGAGGAAGAATAATTTGGCAACTTAAACTATAATTTAGATGTCTAGAATGTTGATATGCTTTCCCATTGGGTACATGATTTACATTATGATATACTCATCCACAAGTTTGATTCTTACAAAGATTAAGACTTAGAGATATTCTAGAAAATTTATTAGACATGGTAATCTGTAACTCCACTTATCTCTGACCTGAACACTGTCAGCTGCTGTCTTAATAAATTGTTCCCTATCAGATGTTTATAGTTCACAGTGAGGCAAACATAATACTGTAAATGTTTCATCACAAACATACTATGTCTAATACATTCTATATTGTCTTTTAAGAATCTTTTGTTTTTATAGATCATTGTGAGTTAAATTAAGAATCTGGTGAAGATAGCTACAATATTCTAAATATAAATTTTAATAAATTAATTTAGCTTATGACATATTCACTTACAAATGTTAGAATATAGATTAACAAGGATCTTTGGTCATAAATAAATGTCCACAGAGAAGCGTGTATTTCATTACTAATGTGTGAATGTGCATATTTTGAGCTTTTATTTTTCTTTTAGTTTTAAACACACTATAGCTATCTTAGTCAAATGAAGACTTTCAAGGACATTTTAGAGTCTGGACTTCTTCCTGAGGGCAAAAAGTAGTCATTTGAAATCTTTAAGGTGGGAGTAATATGATAAGATATTTTCACTTGAAAAATCACTTTCGTGATTATGGAAAATATATATAGTAGGGGAGTAAGATATAAGGAGATGAATTACAAGGTTATTGTCATAGAAGGATTAAGATGATGATGGTCTGGACTGGAAAGAGGGTAGTGGTAAAGTCTAGGGTAGGTTCTAAAAGAACAAGGCATCTTTTCCACTTGATTTAAAGGTACTATATATTTATTTTGTTGACTTCATGTCTCCGAATAAATCTGTAATTTATCCTGATGTCACCATAGATGATGTAATCTAAACATTTAACCTACTATTTTTGGTAACTCCAAGCTATTAAGTTAAGCTATATATATAAAACCAAAGCCACTGACTTCAACACTGATGAAAAACACATTTTTTTTCACTTTGTCCTTTCTTCCCAGTAGCAGAAGACAAAGGGCTAGTAAATCAGTCTTTAGATGGAACCTTTAGATGTTTGATTCCATTACTCACATGATCCTTTCTCCATTACCCATGTAAGTAGTGTAGTATAAAAGGAACAAGAGGATAGTCAGAATGTTTAGATTTAATTCATGCTTT